TACAGGAGTCACACCCACACTGGGCCAGCCAGGAACACAGTGGGTCTAAAGTCACACACATGCTTACAAGTGTGCCTGAGGCTGAAGCTGGCCGACCCACTCTGAGAAGGACCGAGCACAGAGCCCTGAAGGGGCAGCCCACACCTAGCACGGCCCCAGGTGCTCACGTGGCTGCACCCCCCTTCCAGACCCACCTGAAGGGGCTCCAGGCTGGGGCAGGCTGGTCACACAAAACTCCCACAGTGGTCTCTGGGCCCCAGAAAGGAAGAAGGCCCAGCATGTCCAGTGGGGGTCCTGTGATGAGGGCTCCTCACTGCATCTCCCACTGCTGGGCCCTATCTGTGGCCGGGAACTTGACAGAGGAGAAATGCTTTCCTGTCTGAGCTCTGGGCCCTCAGGGTCCTCTCCGTCCTAACGCACCACCAGATACACTCTGGCGTCAGGTGCCCCACTGGAGGCTCCCAGCAGGGGCCCCATACCCACTCCTGAGGACTCTGCCTAGCTCTGCCAAGTTGAGGGATTTCCTGTTGTCCTAGGGAACCCAAGTAGGGGCTCCTTCCCTCCACAGCCTCCTCCAGGAGCCCACCCAGGACCCTCCGTGGGACCCTTCATGTTAGGTCCGCTGGAGGGAGCTGTTGTGAGGCGGCCCCTCAGCACAGGTAGGTGCTGGTAGCCAAAGAGGACCCATCGGTGGGCTGGTTCCTCCCATCCTAGAGCCAGGCCCTAGTGTGACCTACCTTCTATAGTCTGGAACCTTAAATCTCAGAGGCCCCCCAGCCCACAAGACCCCCTGCAAGGTCTCCTGGGAGAGACAGAGAGGGCTTATGGGCGTGTTCCTCTAAGGAACTCTCCACCGAAGCTCTGCAGGGCAAGCCCAGGGTGCTGCTGGGGGCTGGGTGCCAGGTGCCTGCACTGCTCAGAGCTCTCCTGCTTTGGACCCTGACAGGTCACAGGGAGGCTGAGCACCCAGGGGCCTTGCCCACAGACTCCTGTTTCTTCAGGTCACATCTGACAAGGACCCTGTCCTTGACCAAATTTTGTCCAGGCTCCTCTTGTAACAGGATCCCATAAAACTGGGAATTTTGAAGAAGCCACAAATTGCTTTCCCCAGCCCTAAGCATTGTCCCACTGATTGTCCCTTCTTGTCTCCGCCAGGGCTTCCCACAGGCGATGCCCTCGTGCTGAGGATGGGAGCCCTGTCCCTGAGGCCAGCAAGGTGCAGCAGAACTCAGGGGACTGCACCCCTAGCTCTGCTCTGCTCCCCAATGGACAGCAGCCCCCACCTTACATGCCCCTCCTGTGAGGGGGGGACAGGCTGTGGTCCAGGGGGACGGGGCTGCTCTTCAATCTGCTTTCTTTCCCTTTTCATGTTGTTTTTCTCTTGCTCCTGATGCAGGCTGGTCACCAAGTTCAGCGGTCGGGACCCCAGGTTCAGGCCTCTGGCCTGGGCCCAGGACAGAACTTGGCCATGCTGCGGGGACCACAGCCCTCTGCTGGAGTCACTGGGTACAGCTCCCAGGCTGTGCCCAGGGCTGCTGGTCCAAGATGAAGGACAGGTAAAGATGGTCCCTGCAGTTGCAAAGCTCAGACTTGCCTCCTGACTGTCCCTCGGGGCCAATGCTGATTTCATCACCGCTTTGGATAAGAAGGAGAGATGAGTTATGACCTGGTCCCAAAGTCCAGCCACAGTGAATCCTCCCCAGCAGGGTGTGAGGACCCCTTCTGCCTGTTCCTTGCCTTTGGGTCTCTCCTTGAACCTACTGGGGGCCTCTCTTTCGAGTCCAGGAGGGTTCCTCTTGAACAGTCTTTCTGAAAGGGCCCTTTGGGTGTGTGTTTGTGACTGCGGTACCGTCGGCAGGGAGAGGGGACAGAGGCTGAGCAGCTGGGTTAGTCTATAGCAAGTCATTTTAGACTGATTACAAGAAGCCTGGGGAGAGACTGTTCAAGTCCAGGTGCTGCACATTGGCTAGAGAGCATCCACCCAAAGTCCTGAGGGGAAATCAGATGCCAAGCCTCACCCTGCACCCTGGAGCCAAGGAGTGGAGCCACCAGGCTGACACGCCACCCCTGCCCCTCATGCTCACCACCCACAGGGTTCCCTTTCAAGGAGGTGACACCCCCAAAGCACGCCTCATCCCAGGTGAGGACCCCACTCTGTGGCTTGCCTGTCTGAATCAATCTCTGCCTGTGTCTCTGTTGACAGTCACAGGCTGAAAGGGAGTGGGCGGCCTAGGCACAGTCCAGCTGCCAGCTTTGTGAGCCAACTGATGCGAGAAGGAGTGGCCTTTGGAGTAGGGCACAGCCCGGCAAAGCCAGAGCTTTCCAGGGCCATGAGACACATCAGTGTTTAGGAGGCCTGCCCCACAGATGTCCTCAGAACATGGGGTAGTGACGAGCGGTGGAGTGCCCGCCAAAGGCACCAGTTTGCTTGGTTCCTCTCAAAGTTTCCTTTAAGTCACTGCCAAGACAGACGGGTGAGTGACGGTGGCAGTCACAGCAGGAAACATCAGAACACAGGCCCTGGGAGGAGTGAATAGGAGCAGGGAGCTCCCTGGGGGCTAACTGGGGAGGGCAGCAAGAAAAAGACCTCACGGGGCAGCTCCAGACAGGTCCTCCGAGGCCGGTGAGCCAGGAGCTCTGCAGAGGGGACTGCATGCACTTCAGAAGGGAAGCACTAAGGTGACTTCGGACCCCAGTGTCCACATCAGCACAGGACTGACTTGAAGATGAAGCCCCCAAAATGAGAGGAGGGGGAGACACCGTGTCACTTCCACAGAGGACCGACTGGATCCAGAGCTCCCCTGGCCAAGCTGAGTGGCGAAGCTTGCTGAAGAAGCCGACCCTGCTGGGAGCCCACCCCCTGCCCCCTGCAGTGCCCTCTGCTCCCTCCCTGCTCCGCCGGCCTGCGCCCCACCTCCACTCCACCAACGTTTTCCTGCACAACTTCCATGTCTGGCTCCAGACTTCCTGCCACCAAAACACAAGAACCTCAGCTCCCCGTGCTCCTGCAACAAAGCCGTGTGAAGGAATAAGGTGTAGTAAGGGGAAATGAAGAGCCCAAGCATGGCTGGAGGGTCCCACCTCTCTCTTTGTAACAGAACAGGAGAGTTAAAGACTCCCACGCAGACTAGAAGAGCCCAAGGACACGTGGCCCCCTGCCGTACCCAGATGCACAACACACGAAGGCAAGTAACTGAAATGAGTAGGCTCCCCAGGTTCCCTGAACCGTCACCAGGCAGACCTGTCCCCACCCACAAGAAAAGCACCTCAAAAGACGGCACAGCTTCAGAGAAAGACCAAGACAGAGCAGACTGGAGCAGGTCAAGAGTGACATTTAGAGAGCGCTGGACCCAGAGCGCTGCTCCGTCCACACCTGGCATCTCCACCCACTGCCTGGGTCCTCCCAGCAGAGGCAGGGCCTCCAGCTGCCCAGGAGGGCGTTTCCAGGGAGGCCCAGTCCCATGAATCTGCAGGAGGCTCTGCTCAGGCTGCTTCTTGGTTAGGACCTGGGCAGTGCTCTCCTTGAGGGCCCGGTCGCCGACGCGGACCACTCCAACACCAACTCTGCCCTCCCTCCCCCTCAGCTGAGCTCCCCATTTTCCCAACAGCCCAAGCCAACGATCTCAGTGACCTAGACAGAATGGACAATACCCTTGAAAAACACAACCGCAGAAAACCAACGAAGAAAAACTAGCAAGAAAACCTAAGCTTGTATCCAAAAGAAATTAGTTGAAATAGCCATCAAGGAACACTCCAGGCCCGGCGGCCTGTGGATGGTTCCACCCGACATTCAATGACAAAGTCATCTTGGTTGAAAGAAACTCTTTTTTAGGAAACGAAGGGGGAGAACCCCATCTGCTGGGGACACCTGACAAAGGTCTCGCCACCAGAGGACTTGGACACCACCGTAGACCATCTGGCCCTAAGACAGAGGCCACAGCCCTCAGAGGGACCTCTGGGGTAGGAGCCTGTGGCCCCAAGAGCCCAGGACAGGCATGGCAGAGCAGCTCTTGGACGTGCTCTTGCAGAAACTGATGAGGACAGGCCTGGCCAGAGCTTGCCCACCGGGAGGCTGCCAAGAAGGGCCTTGCTGGAAAGAAGCAGGAGCCAGGGGGCCGAGCAGGGGCCTCCTGCTGGCCTCATCCGCGGGACGTGAAGGGTGGACAATCGGCAAGGCAGCCTGCAGCCGTGCGGAGCTCCAGAGCTGTCAGTGCAGCTGAGGGGGAGCACAGGTCCCCACGTCCCAGGCCAGGCGTGGAGAAGAAACACCTCCGCTTCCTGGGATCTCTGCTTGTTGGCCTGGGCTCAGGAGGAGGTTGATTCCAGCCTGTCACTCCCACCAAACTTAGGAGAAAGCTTTGGGGTGAGGAGGGGCCAGGCTGAGGAGACCCCAACCACAGGGCAGCCTGGCCTCAGAGCACCCAGATCCCTGTCTCCCTCCAAGGAAGGCTGAACCAGTAGCTGAGGGTGTAGCCCAGGCGCATCCAGCATTCCTGAGGGGGGGCAGCCAGGATGTGGGCCATACTTATCCCTGGGCCACTGGGGAAGCAGTTCCAGATGCTGGCGCCTGCTGAAGACCTCGACCAGTGAGTAGGATGGGCAGGACTGCAGGGAAGCTGGGCTGCAGGCAGGGGCCACCTGGGGACATGGGCAGGTGCCCCCCATGGAGGGAGGGAGCCAACCTTGGAGGGATAGGAGCTATTAACCTGCACATGGGGACAGAGCTGGACCTGGCAGGGACATGATGGAACCCTCAGGAATTGGCCACTTAGGCTGGGGCTGAGGGGAAACCTATTTGAAGCCAAACCTTGGTTCCTAGGGTCCTGCATACACAGGCCCAGCTTGCACTGCGAGAGCCAGAGAGGGCCGGGATTCTGAGGGCAGTGGGGGCTTGGTCCAGCATCCCTATAGGAGCCTTCACGAGCGACCCCCTCCTGTGCAGTCCCGGAACCATGAGGGTGCTCTGCCTCCCGCTGCTGCTGTCCCTGCTGTGCTCCGGCATGGTGAGTGACCAGGCGTCCCGCAGTTCTCCCAGGGGCAAGGGGCCTGCATCCAGGGACTGTGTGTCTGCACTTCTGTGGGGTCACTGCTCCATGACCCCAGAGGGTGGGCAGAGGCGGCGGTCTGGCTGTGGTTCTCTCAGGGACCGTCCCTTCCTGCCTGTGCAGCCCTGGGCCTGCAGTGCCACTCCTGCCATGGCATCCAGGACATCGGCCAGTGCCTGCCCACCGAGTGTCCCGAGGGGTTCGTCTGCTTCAAGGCCATCCTGAGTGTGGCCGAAGGCTACGGCCGTGGTGAGTTCAGGACTCCACCCAGGGTGTGGGGTGGGGGTCTCTGAACGACACCACCTTATCCAGGGAAGGCTCAGAGGGCTCTGTCCTCAGGGCAGATGGCATCAGGGAAAGACCCAGCCCGGGGGTCCCCATCTGCCGGAGAGCTTGGAGGACAGTCCTGGGCGGCGGCTTCCTACAGAGGAAGCAGCAGTAGGCTGGGGGGGGGGGGGGCTGAGGACGCCCAGGCCAGACGCCTCCTCTCTCCTCTCCCAAAGGACACAAGGTGGAGTACAGTGGCTGTGCTCCCTCCTGTGAGGCCGTTTCTCAGAACTTCCAGAGGAAGACTTTGGGGACTCATCCTGAAATCGCTATGGAGGGGCTGGGTCAGCAGACACCCCCAAGACTGGAGCTGGGGGATGTGAGCTGCTGCCTGCAAGACCTCTGCAACAGGCCCGGCCTGCAGAGGCCATTCATGGTGGGCCGCGCCCCAGGGCCCCCGGCAGGGGGGCTTCTGCTCATCCTGGCCCCCGCCCTCCTCTGGGCCCTGCTGTGAGGATCTCCACACACACACACACACACACACACACACACACACACCGGCACAGGGGGCTGGCGCTCTCCTCCAGAAAGCAGGGGTGGGGCACTGGCACCGTCACAGCCCACCTGGCCACCTCCAGGCACGCACACCTGCACCCGCACACAGCACCACGGGCCCTGCAAACGCACGCCCAGCTGCACTGCAAGACCCTGAGGGAAGCCTGGCTCAGGCCCTGGCTCCTGCCCACCTGCCCCCCAGCACCCGGCTCGCAGCCCCTGCCTTCTGCGGACACTGTGGGTGAACCTCCACCCAACAGGCCCAGGCCCTCTAACAGGACACCTGCCTAGAGAAATAAATGCTGTCTAGCAAGCCTCTCCCATGAATGTCCTTCGGTCTCTCAGGAGGTGGCAAGGGGTCCCTCTAGGTTTGGCTTCAACCAGGTTTCCCCTCAGCCCCAGCCTGAGTGGCCGATTCCTGAGGGTTCCATGACGCCCCTGCCAGGTCCAGCTCTGTCCCCAAGCATAGGATAATAGCTCCTATCCCTCCAAGGTTGGCCCCCTCCCTCCATGGGGGGCACCTGCCCATGTCCCCAGGTGGTGTGAGGAGGCCCCTTAGCAGAGTCAGGTGCTGCCTGCTGATTCCTTCTGTCACCTGGCTCCTTCCCTCCAAGCACCAGCCCCCAGTGATCCCAGCTCTTCAATCTCAGGTCTGGGAAGCCCAGAGGTTCCCAGGGTCCCCAAGACCCAGCTCCTCCCTATGGGACACCTGCTTATTCTCAGGGAAAGCCCCATCCCCTGCAGTCCCCACCCAGCATGGCTGCAGGGCTCTGAGGGATCCCGAGCTCCCACAGGACCTGCAGCACCCCAGGATGCTGGCTGGTCCCACCCAGACCGTGAGTCAGGGAGCTGGGAGGAGCACCCTCAGGGAGGCCTCCTGCCTCCCAAGGAGCCTCCTCACCACGGGCCCCGCCTCTGGGAGGCAGGACTCCTGTTCTGCTCTCTCTGGGTCTCCAGTCTCAGAGAGGCAGCAGGCCCAAGAGCCTCGATGCCCTGTCTTCTTGCCAGGTTTTGCCGTCCAGCCATGGTTCCTTAAAGAAAGATTACTCCAAAAATCCTGCCACAGTCGTGGGTTCCGCTACCCAAGAGTGCCCTGAAATGCCTCGGTGAGAAGTGGCCCCTCCAGGGGTCCAGGGCGGCCAAAGCACTGGTCCCTTGTGGAGGCAGCTGCTGACCCAGGGGCACTGTGACCTGCAGACCCACAGACCCCACCTGCTCACAGCTGCTGATCCAGGACGGCCGTCCTCCCGGGGCTCAGGACCTGCCTGGCCCTCCCACTCTCCTTGGCAGACGGCAGCCATCTGTGGGGATCCCACGCAAGAGGGCAGTCTTGGTCGGCACGTCGGCAGGACTCACCGAGAGGCTGTGCAGACCTCTGGGCCCCAGTGCAGGCAGTGGAGGCTGAGTTGGCGCAGGCGGGCTGGGGCCTAAGAAATGTGGTGGGAGCTCACCCTGCTGGGCTGCCCTGGTGCCCAGCCTGTTCCGCACCTCACCAAAGAGGGGTCTTCACACAGTTCTCAGAGGGGCTCGCCTTATTCCAGACACCACAGATGGTGAGGGCCAGGCTGCACATGCGTCCCACAGCAGAGGCGTGGTCTTCTCATGGGATGTGGTGACATTCTCACGGGGCGCTGCTCCCAACTTCGTGTCTGATTAACCCAGTAGGCGCTCCCATCCACAGGCTCCCGGGGCGGGCAACCAGTCTCAAGTGGAAGATGTCTGGGGGAAATTCATCTTCACCCAACACATGCAGGTGCTCTTCCTTGCCCTCGCTCCAGGGCAGCACAGTGTAGCTAGGATTTCCACAGCCTGGGACTGTGCTGGGTGCTGCCTGTGGTCCAAAGAGGGGTCGGAGTTCACCCAGGGTGTGCCCCGCCCCCGCAGCTCTGCTCCCTTCACACTGCAGGTCCTGCACCCATGAACACCAGGCTCCCCTGTGCCATTAAACACACAGGAATCGGCCTCGGCCCTCGGGGCAGACCCCGCCATCCCTTTGTGCAAGTCCTGTGCAGACCCTAACACCACCACCTCAGTGACAAGACCAGGACCTTGCTTTGCTGCAAGTGGTCTCTCTCTCCCCATTTGATCACTGAGGGTGTGGAGGTGACTGATGTTTTTAGGGTGAAGAGTGGTACTGGGGATTGAACTCAGGGGCATTCAATCAATGAGCCACATTCCCAGCCCTATTTTGTATTTTATTTAGAGACAGAGTCTCACTGAGTTGCTTAGCACCTCACCGTTGCTGAGGCTGGCTTTGAACTCACCCTCCTCCTGTTTCAGCCTCCCAAGTCTCTGGGATTATAAACTGAGTCACTGCACCCGCCTGGCAGAGGTGACTGTCCCCAGGGCCTTGTGTGAGGCAAGCACTCTACCAACTGAGCTACATCCCTAGCCAAGGTGACTGACCTGCACCAAGCCTTCATGCGTAGTGTGGCAGACACAGCTGGAGCTCACAGGACCCCTCTTCCCATGAGCAGCCACAACAAATACACACTCCATCCTTCCACAGCAAGCTGGTGTGAAGAGAGGGAACAGACCCCCAGGGAGGTCACCAGGCCTCTCCCCCAGGTAGGGGCAGGCCCTTGGCCAACAGGGTAGGAGAATAACAGGCACCTGCTGAGCCCCACCCAGAAACGCAGCTTCCAGCCCCCTCCTACTTCCTCACGTGTGCAGATATGCACACACTCACATGCCACCCAGTGTCTCATGTGGCACTTCTCAATGTTGATAAGTTTAAATATCTCTATCTGATACTCAGGAATATTTTCTCTACATAAAGAGATGTCCCTCTCTTTCAATGTTAAGATCCACGAGTTCTCGATGATCAGTTCCCAGTTTGGGCTTTGGCCTGCAGAAGCGGCCTTTCCATGGGACCCAGTCCTACAGTGCTCTGCTCAGAGGTGCCTCTGCTCCAAGACTGCCTGGCACTGCCCTGTCCTCCACTGACCTGGGCCAGCTTCCCCAGAAGAACCCCACTAAGCAGCCCCCAGCGAGTCTGCCAATGCCCACGCTGATGGAGTTTTGAGATCAGTTCACACCGGCACAGAAGTCGCAGCAATAGCTTGGTTCTTTGCTTCTGTGGCTCCCACACGCCAGCCTGTTCGGGACTAGATGGTGCTGACCAGCGTCCAGAGGGGGCACCGGCGCTGGGCTCCACTAGCTCCACACAGATGGAGTTGGATGTCCCCATCTGGGAGGCTGGGCAGCACCTCCTGCCCATCTCCTGGTTATTTCCAGCCGGGAGAGCCTCCACCTCACCCTGCCCTTCATGGCCCCTGCACTGCCCCTGGCTCACATCGTAAGGGTTCCACCCTCCCTGTTTTAAGAGCCCCAGATTAAGCCTGATCCCTGCCCTCCAAGGTCTGGAGGAGGCCCCTGTAGGGTCTGCCTGAGCTCCCCACCTTCCTTCTCTGATCCTGTTCTTTCCTCTCTTACCCTCAGCTGGGGTGGCTGCCCTGAAGAACTGCGTGTGGGGCCGGCACATCCTAGCAGGCAGCCCTCTGCGCCTGCCGCCTCGGGGATGCTCCAACCACCCTCGTTCTCCCCGCAGCCGCCCTGGCTCCCTGCCTCCCACCCGCCCAGCCTGCACGGGACCTTCAGCCTGGTCCTACCCCCATGGAGAACCCAAAGTCCTACTGTATATAACTCCAGGTGACGTTTCTATATTTATAGCAGTGTTGAAAACCCACGTGTTTTACACAAAGAACCACCCTTTCCAAAACCCCCCTCCCTTCCCACCCCAACAAAAGGTTTTCCAAACCCTTACCATTCCTGGGGCAGGCGGAAACAGGCCCGCGGACTGTGTGTTGGCTGCAACAATGATTCCAACAGCAGCTACTGGGGGGGAAACAAACATTTTTTTTAATCATCATAAAAAAAGATTTATGAAACAATTATTTAGGATGTTTGTGATTTGCCGACCTTGTTATAGATGCCATGTTACCAATGATTTCCTGTGGTGGGGGCTTGTCATTGTTTACCCTTTTATTTACCAACTTCTGGCCTAGGCATGACAGTGGGTACCTTCCCCCAGCCCTGGCTGGGCCCAGCGCCTGTGTTCTGTGTTAGAAAGGTTTTATATAGACAGAGTAACATATATATATATGATTTCAGGGGCCCTGTTCCTTGCACATTTTACAGTTACCTCATTTTTCCCATGTATGTATTTGAGAAAATGCTAATATATAGAGAAAAAATGGTTCTTAAAGATTAAATGTGTGGTTTTTTCCATTCCATTGGATTCACATTGGTTTGTAGCATTTAACATAACTAGTATGTTGTATTATATATATAAGTGTATACTGATTGAAACTTTTAACAGATTTGTACTTTTTTTTAAATGAAAGTTGCTAGTTCTGCTTGACCAAGTAGTGCAATCATTATTTTTTTTAATATTGTTGCTGATTTCAGAGGGATATTCATTAATAAATGTATGATGTATAGCAAGTAAAAAAAAAAGAGCCCCAGATTAAGCATCGTCCTCAGTGTGCTGGACCAGGAGCCTTCCATGGTTCACCCACCTGTCTGCGAGTTGGATGCTGGGCCCCTGGGCTCTGCACCCGGGAAGCCCTGAACCCAGCCCACTGCTACTGCAGCTCCCACAGTGTACTATGACACACCCACTTGAGGGGGTCTCAGGCCACCTGCCACTCAGCAAGGGCCTCAGAAATGTGGGTGAACTTGAGGCAAAATGAACTCCATCCCCCTGGATTCCAGTTCTGCCACACCAGTACTGTGGTACAACCAGGGACCAGCGCTGCTAGTCAGCACCAGTGCCTGTCCCCATGGCAGCTGGTGGCCTGGCTTGCCTCTGGGCCCAACCCAGAGTGGGTGTGGTGTGCACAAGGAGTGGGTGAGAGTGGGCATGAGGAGTGGGCATGGGTGTGCTTGGTGAGTGAGTGTGGGTGTGCAAGAGGAGTGGGTGAGAGTATGCAAGAGGATTGGGTGTGGTTGTGCAAG